TACGGTGTGATACAGTATTAACACTTGTTACTTACATTTCTCTACGACTGATTTGTTCTGGCCGGAGGATTCAACGAAAGTGCTGCGAAAGAATTCCTGCACTATTTCATCCCGTAGTGTTTCCCTTGCAGCACAAATTGTGGTCAGCAAAATAAAACACACAATTACCGCCCTCGTCATTCTGTTTTATTTTAATCCCGACGTACTTCAGTATTTCATGAGTGATACAACCGTAATGTTTGAAGTCTGCCTGTAATTTAACTATAACTTTACACAACGGATGCTAATCTTTAAAATACTTAACCAATACTAAATAACTAATCACGTGACTATTCGAGCATGAAAAAAATGCTTATCGATATTGAAAAATCCAACCTTTCCACTTAAATATTTAACTTCCTCTCATTCTAGAATATTTATATTTTAATATTGTTTTGCGAAATGAACGCTTCAATAAAAAGTGTGTGTGAGTAATTTATAAAAATAGTCTTATTTGTTTTATCAGAGAATTAACTTCCTTACTTCCGTATTCACTTTTCATATCAAATTAAAGTGTAAAACATTTATTAACATCGTCCTTTTCCCATTCAAATCTGGGCGGTAACTTAGTGATTAAAGCTGCATGCCTCCAGATGATCCAAAATGTTCAGAGAATATCAACCTTGAGAAAAATGTACAAAGAGTTAAAGAAACAAAAATACCAATCATGAAATGATATGCATGTTATGTGCAATTCAAGATCCTGTAACTCATTTTTTATGGTTTTATATCATAAGTATAGTGTTCAAATAAAGATTTATCAATATTGTAAGTTGCAAAAAGCATTATTTGTAGAGATATTCCCGAATTTACATTTTCATGTTAATAAAGGGAGGTTATTAGAAATTTATTTTCTATAAAGTCAGGGTCAAAAATATTCAATAAGGAATGAATGCATATATTTTAATGATTACATAATATCATGTGCACAAATATTTGCAGTACATATTTTACATATTCTTCGATATTTGAAAATTGTTTTAAAAGTATAATTATATACATATATAAAATTTCACTTAAGTGTGGTTACATCCTTAATTACAACATACAGGATTTTGCAGTACATGTTTTATCACCATATTTCGATCGCGTGACTAACGCAGTAAGGGATGTATTTGCATATTCTGACCTTGGTTTTTGGTAATTTTCATAGATTTTAAGTGTCATATGCAATGAGTAAATTACTTTCTTTGTACACATCACAATATTCAACTTTTAAGTAAATCTTAATTTTTTATTTATGAAAGTTAGCTTGAATCTGGAGGCAAGCTGCTTTAAGGTGTCAGCCTCTCATCACGTGGGTTCGACCCTCGACTGGAGATAAAGTAAATGAAAGTAAAACTATCGCCCCAATCTGTGTAATATATAGACATGTTTCACCATTATTTTACATTTCTTTGAGAACTGATGCGTAAAGAAATTATGTTGAATAATTTTGTAGTATGTGCGTACATAACCGAAATCGTCACGCGCTGAACCATGATGAGATTCTCGTTGATGTGCCAGGGCTGTCAAAAAATAGAAAAAATAAAAACAATAATAAAAATAGATAAATAAATATACTATTCCAATTCCAGTGCATTTTTACCAACATGTTAATTTGCAAGTAAGTTCCGTATACTCTACTGCAGTAGGGGAAAACAAAATATTTCTTGATACACAACTTTATAATGTTAAAATTTCAGTTAATAAACATTAGTATAAACGTAGTGTTCAGCTTAATGGAAAAGTGACAATATGTGCCTGTCTATACGATTAAGAAGATTTTGTGTTATTAGAGCGGTTACATTGGTTGAACACTAAATATTTTATGCCGTACTGTACTTATGCCAATTTTGATGTTTCTATCTTTTTTAACATGGATGAAGCCTGGCGGGGGACTCTATACATATAATGACGTCGTAATTTATATTCATCGTAATTTAATAATGATGTTAATATAGAATCATCTTTCTTATATATCATAATTTAAATTGAAAGGATTTTAAAATATTTCTGAAACATAATGAAATTTTGAAGAAAATGTTGATTTGTAGATATAATGCACAATATTGAATACTAGCGCGTCACATTAGTCCAGTTGGTGGCAATTGATACATGTCCATTAAGGGGAGCGGTGACCAAGTGGTTAAGGTGTCTCTCTCTCTCTCTCTCAACGCAGCGATCATTGGTTCGAGAACTAGTCGGGTCACGATCATGTTGTTTCTTCATATGACACCAGTACTGGTTGGTTCCAGGAAGCGGACTCGAAAGTGATTAACATAAGTTGCAAAAACTTGTTCACAATCGAGCTTGAATGAATATGTTCAAACCAATCGAGTAAACTGCCATTTTGATTATCAAAGGGAGATAAGTCAAAGATATTACATTGTTTTTTTGAATATTTGTTCCTTCCCTTCCAGTCAAAAAAATTAAATAAATGTCCATTAAAATAAAATTTGGCCTCGCATCGGTTTTGCGTCCATAATTCAAGAAAATTTTAATTTTAATGTTTTTCACCTGGTACCTGGTATTGTTTTGATTGTATTGATGAATATGGAAGCCTATGTCTTATTTATATTAAACTGCACATTATGCTTAATATAAGCTTGTGTCAATATACAAGGGAAATAAATCTACAGAGCATATCAAGAATTTATATTTGAGTTAAACGACAGATTTGGTACTTTTTCAGTATTTTAATATTGATAAAGACAATAGAAATGTATCATTTGGATATTCTAATGAAATATATATGTAAGACAAAATGTTGATAGAGCTTTAAAGTAATTTTATATTTTAGTATGAACATTTATATGAATAATAATAATATTTTGTTCTAGAACACTATATTATCTGCTCTATATTGATATGTCTAACTCTTGCCAACAACGTCCATATAGAATTCTTTCGTGATTTATTTTCACGTATCATACTTAATATCATCATAATTATTTTTTGCAATACAGATCTTCCATTATAGACCAATTCACTTTAATATCTAAAACCTACATTTTCATTCAGAAATAATATTATTACGTCAGTGTTGTAATTATTAAAATCTATAATCGAAATAATAAACACCTTATATTAGAGGCAATATTTTTATATAGACTAAAGGACTATCTTCATTCTATTTTCTGTCCGAAACCAGGTTGTATTATTAGGCTGATTGAACAATAATCGACTTACATACATTTTAAGTATCATACAGTGAATTAATGATCACCTTTTGGCAGATTATAACCTTTAAGGACATGAATGGTGACATGTTTGGGGTCCGTACTCTCAGTGCTTGAAAGGGCGGATGAAGCCTTATTTAGCCCAAAACACGTATGCACGCACTGACGTACGTACGTACATACATACATCAGTTTTAGACACAAAGAGTGGTCAAGATAATAAAGTCTATTCCAGCAAATACTGGGTTACTAAAATTAAACTCTGATAGTATGAACACTTTTGGACAAATAACTGGTACCTAATTAAGGAACCATTTTAAATAAAAAGTTGCCACATTTAAATACCTCAAATATGCGTTTACTAAAATGAAAACTAATTCTATATACATGCAATTTTTCTTTTATTTGCATTTTTAATTGTCGTGAATTATTCTTACACGACACACAAATATATAAATATCAAGGATCATAGACAAACAAGGTTATAAATAAATCACTGATTTGTAATATCATATCTTGTAATAATAAATTACAAACTATAGCCGTTATTCCATTTATCAAGATGATATAATAGTTACTTATATGTTATGATATGTTATTTATAACAGATCGAATGTTTCATATGCATCGTAGATAGAGAATGTCAAACTGTCTTTGAACAATAATCATAATCTTTTTCTTTTCGCCGACAGTCCTATATAAAATTCAATGTCCATTTCTTAGCGTGACGCAGAATAAATTACTTCCGCGAAATAGACAAAAAATGCGTGTGTTTTGTTTGTTAGAAAAGTAGTTAACGTTCTTTTTTACTGATTTTAACAATTTATCCTGCGAGATAGACATAATACTTATATCCCACTTTCGTCTTCGTTCTACAAATATTTCTAACCGATTACCGCTGAGGTACATACTTGAACCGAATATCTAAATCAGCTCGATTTATATCACACTAATGTTTCTAAATGATACACCGCCGAGTCATCACTGTGCATTGAACTAAGGCCAGTATCCGAGTTAGAATCATTGTCTTCCACTTTCACAGTTAGGTATGGTTTATCCGCAACACCTGTCTTAAAATGAGAATAGTCAGATGTCCTAGAAACATAATCAAAAAGGTCTTTCGAGTCCGAGCAATCTGATTGGTCAATACTGATTCCTTCTGAAAGACTAGACTCCTCCCAACTGTACTTGTCAACTAAGCAATCTGTTTTAAATCTAACTTTAGTTTCACCACTATGTGTTTGTTTATACGGTAAATTAAAACCATTTCTATTATCAGAGGTACTTGTTTTTAAAATTGGTTTTCTTTCAGGAACATGTTCCCTTGTCTGGTTAGTTTCTTTTGATTGTTGATTATTTAAATGAGGTGGGTAGTTTCGATTTTCTAGTTCCGATTTCGGTCGAGTTCTTTCTGGAATTGGAGGCGGAAGTGAGTTATTAGATTGGTTTTGAACACGGTTTGTTCGTTCAGGTAGTGGTAAAGGGTTATTCGAAAGGATACCGTTCGATCCTGCACTATCAGAACTATTAACACTAGCAGCACTATCTAAAGACTCATTTGATTTCAAATGACTATCTTCTAGTTCAGAAAGTTCAGACTGGAGACGTTTATAAATCTCTTCCCTGTCTGTAAGCTTTTCGTCGTAAAACTGAAGTTCTCTTTGTAAATCCTGAAATTTGTATTGTTGCATTATTGCACACGAAACAGCACGGTTTAAATCCACTTGAACTTTTGTAATATCTTCCTGATTATTTTCCGCTGCAGGTTCAGACGTATTGTTTTCGTTTGCACAAGTTTGAATTTGATAAGCTAAGTCCTCGATCTTTGAGTGCTCATTTTTGATTTGATCTTCCATTTCGAGTATCTTATCACAATAACTAACGTAGGTTTCTAACTCGTCTATATTAGCGTTCGAAAAGAATTCGTCCATAGTATCCTCATACTGACCGTCTAAATAAACATCTTTTACATATTCATCACCATTTTGTTTTAATCTTTTTGAATGTAGTCTTGACTCATACCTGTCAATCAGTTTGTCAGTATCGTCCTCATGTTCAATCATATCTTTCAATTTACGTTCTTGTGAAATGACTAGTTTTACAAGCGTCTCCATAGATCTGAGTCTGTCAGACGCATTTTGACAATAATGATGATGATGACGATGTTCACGTGGACGTCGTTCTCTCTCGCGTTCACGGTCTCGGTCACGTTCTCGTTCACGTAATTTATGACGAGATCTCTTTTTACGACGTGTTAAAGAAAATTCACCACTGTATTCTAGTTCGTCCATTCTGCGCATAGATAAATGTACATTACTTTGCTCAGCGCCCCAAGTTCGCCACACTTTCACTATTTTAGTTCGTCCTTGCAATGGACGTTCGACTTCCCGCCATTTTTCAAATATGGCGTACGCCGACGTATTAACATGTTCATGTAGCCCCTCTTGGTACATGAGAGCGTAAATGACGTCATCGCACGTGGTTCGCTTTGTGAGGCCTGTCACCCATTTTTGCGTTCCTTTCACCCAAATGGGAATTTCAATCTCAGCTACTGGATTTTCTGACGCCATCTGAAAATATAAAATTAAATAAAATGAAGACGAAATATATTAAAGTCCATGAAATCAACATGAAACACTTAAGACGCAATGTTCATGTCCAACAATTCATAACTTACTTCTTACTAAGTCCCAACCTTTACTAACTTACTGCTTACTAAGACGCAATTTTCATGTCCAACCTATACCAACTTACTGCTTACTAAAACTGTCTTACTAAACTTGTGTCGTATTTTCAGTTGTGCTAAGTTCCAAAAATTAAAATACGAAACTGTTTAATCAAGTATATGTTAACTATCAAGGAATATATACAAACGCTATCTTTGAAGATTTTAAACCAAGGGCCATTCACCTGACAATTAGGTTAGATAAATCTTGTAGTTGAGTATCTCAAAGTCCTATTTTTCATGTATAATTTGACGTAAATATGATAATAAAAATTGTAATGACTACTTCAAATTATGATAAACTGCAATGCTAACGAAGGTCGCAATATTTCCCTAATACACGAAAATAAAATCCAGTACTGGTAAAATTCCTTCATGTTTCACCTTTTAGCAAAAATCCAAAGTTGAAAGTTAAGAAAGAACGCACTCTCAGAGGCAATATTTTCTCTGTAACATAATTATGATAAAGATAGATAGAGGGCCTAATTCTCTCCGATAGGCAATCATCAATGAAGATAAACAATTCCAATAAAACGCCGATAATAATCGGTGTGTGGTGGGGAGTGGGGAGAGAGAGAGTTTTTTCTTCTTGATAAGCGATTTGCTTTTACGTAAGTGGTGCGTACATCAGAAATATCAATCTCTGTGAGAGATAAAAATTTTTCCTTCAACACGTAAGCATTAAAATGATATTCACTTCAGATATTCAAAGCAATCTATTTATTTTCCTCCTCCGAACACACATACAAAAAACCCCGCCAGATGTTTACTTAAATAACTAAAATCCAACTTTATCGAGGAATCTTCACTATCTAGCTAAAACTTGTTTGATTCCAAGTGATAAAAGCTTCAACTTAAGTTCTATATGAATTTAACTGTTATGTAGCGAAAAGAAAATATTCGCTTTTGGGTGAAAAATAAATATATTCATACTTTTTAGGTAACATACTTTTTAGGTAACATATACTATATCCTTTAAATAAAATCATCAATATGTTTGATGTTAAAATTTTAATTGTATACTGGGTTTAAACTAATGAACTTTATTATAAATTATAATTATAAATGAATGTATTGTTTATATTCTCAGTTATACATGTCGATACATGTAATGACCATTGCGATAGATCGGTTAGTCAGATTTTCCTTACAGGAGGACAATCAAAGACCTATATTAAAGCAAACCATTGTCAATAAACATAAATTCCATTAACCATCTATTGTACGCTACAATTGACATTTTATCACAGACCTCACATGGCCTTTATTGTTAATATAACAACCTTTGGTCGTATTTTTATAAAGCCGCTATCGTATTTCGCCATTCTTTCAATCCGAAGACATGCTGTTTCCGGTTTTATGAATTGTGGGAAGCAAAATGGACTCGTAAATGGGAAAAAGATAATTCATACAAGCACGCTAAAGAATTAGATACGTTCCAGCGTGAAAATATCATAAAATACAGGCACAAAGTGACAAAAACAACCTAACAACAACTTCTACAGATTAGAAACGATTTCATTACTGATTATAATCGTTAAATATCTGAATTTCATACTGGGTTACAGAACACTGAAACATGCTCTTAGTATCTTTTACATCATAGACATTTTGTCATATCTTTAAGACAAGAAATTTTATTGAAAACATGGTACGTACAAAGTGAAAAACTTGTTCAATGATGTTTTGACATTTAGGAGATTAAAACAAAACTTTGAAATTCCAACTGACATAAATCCTTAGACACACTCTAGCATGCAAATATTTTAATCTTTTCAAGTTGACCATTTATTTATTTAGTCATACAGCCCTTCTATGATGTATAAATCAAATGTCAAGCGAAGATTTTACAGTGACCAAAGATCAAAATTTTTTCCCTTTTTATTTTACTTTCTTCTTCCTCGTTTGATGTTCCGTAGGCTTGTATTATTTCCATAACGAACAATGTCCATAAGCAATGAATTTCTTTGCACCTACTTTTAATTTGTTTAATGTATTGTGCCCGTTTTAATTGATTATTAAATGCATGTACCGGAAATAATTGGATACATAAAGACATGAAAATCATTCTGGCAGACGCAAACATTTGAATATTTTATGAAAGCTCAAAGCAAAAGTGTGCATATGCATGAAAAATGTACACTTTGGGACGCCATTATGAATTCCCGTAATGCGCGGTAAGGCAACAATAGGAATAACTAATTGCAACAAATTCTTACGCGAAATAGTTCGCGCGCTTTGGAAATACTGACCTTTAAAGAAGCTTTGAATTAATGCAAAGAGACAATTAAATAAAGCAAAGCATTATATTTGTATGCACAATTTATTCAGGTCTCCACACAAGGAGACAATTTAGAGCTTGTTTTGCTATTGTAACGAATGTTGTATTCTCACGCGATCACCGGTATAATATAGACAGCTCTAATCAGATCATTGATTATCTCCGTTGATAATAATAGATAAATTATCTCATAAATTATCTCATTTGTCTTAATATTAATTAGGGTAATTTAAGATTGAATGATAATTGGTTTATTTAAGAGTTCATTCCACGTTTGTTCTATTTTGACCTCAAATTATTACTACTTTAGGTGTATTTTCGTCACAGTGCATTCAACTACTTGTAGTAATAGCGTTATTTTATATACATGTACATTTTTTTCCAAATTAATCAAACTTTCATATCAAAACAACATGATCATAAAAAATTACACATTAACATCAAAATGTACATCGTCTTACATATCAATTATTGAAGAAATAAAGAATATTGTTCTTATGATGTTAGAAAACGTAAATATATATTCTGAGAGCATTTGAAACGTTATGTATACATTCTTTTCTTTTTAATATAAATGTAAATAGATATGTGTCTAGAAAAAAAAACATGCTATTTTTATGATGTTATTCACATTCATTTTTTCCAGTTTTGAAGTATTTCTGTTGTTGTTGTTGTTACGTCAACACTATCAACATTAGACACACCAGTGATGCAAGCAGCACTAATATAAAGTTCCAGATGATATATTACACAGATGAAGTTTACCTGGTGATTAACTTAAAATGCCTGGAAAGTCATCTTCGCCGTATGTTTTAAACATTTTTTTCATAGAAAAGCGATTTCTCAATTGCCTACCTGTGTATTTTGCTACACTGACATGCGTTTTTTACGAGAGCAGAAGAGCTTATGTTGTACGTAAAATCCATGCTAGAAAGCATGTGCTGTAATGTTATTAAATAGAATCAGTAAAAATACCTTTATATTTCATACCAAGCGAAAAGTATATCCGGGGCAACTTGTTTATATACAATGTTAGAAATGCAGCTGCTATCTCCGACGGTTAACGTGTTATATTCAATTACTTTAATACAAGATTTACGTGCAACACATAATAACTATAGATTGCCAAAGTATGATATTTTCGTCTTTAACCTTTACCCTGTCGGTTGTAATTGAATCTACCCGTGCAGTCAGTGCAGACCAAGCTCAGCTGTCACATCCATGCAGTCTGATCATTGTTGGCACTGTTCGCTATTCAGTGAGTACTTATTTTGTAAGTTTCCCTATTTTTTGGTTAAAAGATATAAAAAGATATAAAACTTCTATCATGGTAAGGGTTCAATAACAGAATTCAATTAACATATAAAGAAATATTTTTAGCGTTCGTAACGGTTTACTCCGTTTGTTTCCTTAATTTTAATTTGTAATATTATACAAGTTACTTTCAATACTCTTCCATTATGTTTGTAAAACCAAATATTTAAATCTGTGTTAATCATTTGTTTTGAATGTTTGGAGTCACTTACCTATGAATAATGTCTTATTTATTTATCTAGAATTTTCCCAAACACGAATAAATCCTTTTCTACATTTTTGAAGTATTTAATTCTATTTGTATCGTGAAATTCACACGCATATGAAATCTGCTTAAGTCTCTCTCGCAGTCAAAGTACATATAAATACTTTTCAAAATGCATTAAAAAAAACTTCACTCCACTTTTGACCTTTTTGAATATCCCTTTAGCATTGAATACATTGCGTAACGAAATTAGATCATTTCTTCCCTAAAGTGTGAGAAACAGTTAAAGTTCAATAAATGCCTATTTTATTTCCACTATAAACACGGCAGAAAGTTTTAAATGAAATAGGCCAGATTTGAACAGCTCTAAAATGGAGTTTATAAAGGCAAAACAAACATTACGCGGCGAAACGATAGATTATAAAACGATCACGAAGAAATACAACTTAGATGTAAATTGGTGTTATAAGCAAACATTATCATCAACGAAAACTTAATTTATTCAAATTCATAATACTGGCTAAAAATAGGCCGGTATTTTAAAGTAATAGAGGTTTTTTCTTACAAGAGCCGTCAATACCGTATTGCAAAATATGGTGGGAATTTCAAAAGTAATTAGTTTTGTACTGTAACCCATAAGTAACTTATTGACAATAATAAAAAAAACTAACTGAGGATACGTTTTGGAAAGATAAATATTATGCAACATCATGCACATGTACACATTTTTTATCAAAGCTTTGTGCAAATAGATAACTTTGATATAATTATCAAGATCTGACAAGCTCTGATTATTACGCAACGAATGAAGAGAACCTAACGCTTAGACAGAAGTGACAAAAGTTAAAATTATGAAAGGTACCGTATATTGTTAACAGGGTGTCGGATGTTAACACTTGCAGTCTAAAAAATAGATGAGATGCGTGCATTGGATTAAGTTACATTACTGAATAAAATAGTTTATGTAAATCAGGGTATTACAGAAATTGTTAACGTTTGAATGCTCTGTGAAATAACGCAGGCCTCCCATTCAGCAGACGACCTG